CAATTAATCAATAATTCCAAGTGCCAAAGAGAATGCCTCGAGGATATGTTCGAATATATCGTGTTTTCTCTCCCGGCGCAATCCCGGGGAAAATTAATCGAAACGCGTAGCGGTCAGAATTTTTAGCCACCCGCGCAAACCACTGGATACGTGGTTGTCAATAATCGATTAAGCGCAATTTATTCGACTCTCTCTGTGTGTGTGAACGTAGATGTGCGTGTTGTTAAACAAACCGTAAATCATTTGAATCTACATGTATGTTAATCTTGTTATAGGCTGTTTGAAAAAGGGTTGCACGATTGAGCGAAATTTTTGTGAGCACCTCACGGGAATTTATTTTATTGCTCGCGGTACATGTGCAATAATTTTAGACGTGCATAGTTATTTCACAAATCAGTTTTTCTATGATGTAAAATTTAATAAATGTAATATTGTATTAAAACAGGTACAATTATACATATTGCATTATGAAATATATATGTTTGTTCATTTATTGTATTATAAAATTTATTTTTATAATTTTAAATAATTAAATATAGAAAGAAGGTAATAAAAGTTGAGGCACGGTTGTGTTTATTTTTTTTCAAATTTTTTTATTGAATAATAGTTTTTTTACCTTTTGCAAATGTCTCGATACAGTCTTTCTCAATGCAAACAAAATTGTAGTGTTTGAATTAAAACGCGTGGTATCTACAACGTTTTCATAGTCAAGGTTGTGCATCACACACAATTTTGCGTTTTATAATTTTATACTAAAAAACTTTCAATGTATGTAAAATTTTATTCCATTTTAATAATAAAATACATACAGCAGAAATTGGACACCTTGACGCATGCAATAATTAACATAATATAAAATTTATGTATATAAATCATGTAAGTTTTAATTTTTGATAATTTTACATTGTATTTTTAATCTATTATTTATCAATTAATATTACGAGTTAATAATCGCGTACATTACGTCGATTGTGAATATATTCTTGCGTAAATAAATTCATCAGTTTTATTTATAGCGGCTTTTCTCATTCGGTTTCTGTTTTGTCACTCTAATTCGCCTCTTCTGTGTTCCTCGTAATTACCACGATTGTTCTCTCTTGAATGTTTTAAGACCCGTTTAACGGTTTACATAATTCACGTGATGAATTTTCTCCACGTGCCGAACGGTATACTACATTAAGCGAATTCGCGTCTCCGATGTAGTAACAGTACTCCGCTAATTACACATCTCGTAATATTAAATTGTCGCACCACCACGCGTCGCGTTTATTTTCACGGTTTATCGCTTCCGTCGGTTTCCTTCTTGTGGAGATCTCCGCATAATTATTATAAATCTACTTTAAACAATAAAAATTACGTTCTCTTTCAAATAACGTATCCTCTTAACTCTTAGACAAAAGACATGACAGAAAAAATCTTCAATATAAAATTTATTAAATAAAATGATTTCTCTAAGTAGGAACGAGAGAAACTGTAGCTTCCGTAGCTTAATTCTCTTGGTGCAAAATCACCGAGTCCTTTATCCACACCTTGCTGGATTATCGTGCGGTGGCATTATCGCGCTTGATGCATCTGTATCGACTGGCCCCGAACTTTTCCGTCGTTACCGGGAAAGTTACTTCCCTCGTTAGCCACCATCGAATGTAGACATTCGCGCGACGCGAAGTTTCTTCTTTCCCTTCTCTCTTCCACGCTCCGCTCCGCTTCGCTCACTCTCTCTCTCTCTCTGTACTTCTCTCTTCACGGTGAGCTAAGCGCGTCCGTTAGATGAGAAACGTTGTTTCGCGTTTCTTTCTCATTTTCACGCCATTGTCGCCGTGTATCAACCAGCCAATACGCGTAATTTTTTTTTTTTTTTTTTCGTCAACACTCTGTGTCGAACCTTTTCTTATTTTCTATTTTCTATTCTTCCGTTCTTTCGTTCCTCCATCGCGTTCGGCGAATTCCGATCCGAATGGAGAAGTCGGTCTAGACGATCGGGGTCTAGAAATTTGATCGGTTGATAGATCCGGATCGAACCGGCATCCGATGGGAAATTCATATCACCGGGAAATTGATGAAATTGAGACGAAGAACTAAAGTTAATTTTGCGATACTGCGCGCCGTTGTTCGCGCGCTTCGAGTTCACGCGTGTTGCTCGCTGTGTATCTATTGTATTCGATCGTATCCTCGATCAATTCCTGATGGCTGCAAAGATTGTCTTGCGGATTGCCAAGAAAAATAATCAACAAAATCTATCGGTGTGAACACACTTTATCGAACCGACCGGGGGCGGATCGCTTTCTCTTAAATCTTGATGTGCCGCACGGCCGGAAATTAGCGAGCTGACATCACGGCGGCGACGCGATCGCGTTTGCTCACGCGACTCGAGACTTTCCTTATACGATGACGCGGGGTATACACAGTTTGTCCGGAAAGTTCCCGGACTACGTGAATTAAAAATCGAAAATGAAAGATATGGTTTATTAAACAAGTTTACACTTCAAGGT